ATTGTAAGTTTCAGTGGCAGATTTTCCAAGTTTTGTGAGGAATTTGATGTTAGCACGTTGTTCTGCATTAGCACTCAGCATTATTCCGACGGAGCTCAGAAACACGATCCGCTTCTAACAATGGTCGCGGCCAGACTAACCGATGCACGTGAATGAAACTTTGTGTGACGGTAGAGGGAAGTCCAAGGGTCAATGCCCTACCCTCCTCTTCGTCAATGACGTGGCCGGAAATGAGTCATAAAAGTAATCCGGTTTCTTTATTGCCACACCTTGTATTTTCTATGTCTGGCTTCGTCTTATCCTGTACTCCAACATGTTCATTCTCATGGTTTTGTATGAATTCTCCTTTTTTCTTTTTTTGCATAATTTTTATAGGACACCAAGTGCAGCACAAACCATTTGCTCGAGTTAAGACAAACTTTACAAATATAAAAAAATACTCCAAACACATGAGGTCTAGCACCTATGTCCTTGCACTATTGCACGGCTATTATTGTTAAAATCAGAATACTATTAGAATAGAAGTCATCACTAAAGAGACAAATTTTCTGCATGGTACCAACATAAAAACACAATTTTCACACTACACTAGATGGATTTGTAATTTTCTGACTTCTGCTGCGATAATGGGAGTCCAGATGGGAGAGATGTCCAAGACGGGTTGCTGATCGGAAGGCCTACCAGTAACATGTGGGTGGATTCCTTGTATTTCCTGTATGTGGTGTTTGGTTCAGTCTGCAAGACCTTCGTTTATTTCTAACGTATTTTGTGGTCTATCTATACTAAAAGAGTAAGAGGTAGACCAAAACTGAGGTGCTTTGATGATGTCAGAGAAGACCTTAGCACGGTGAGAGTTAAAGATTGGGGATCCACTGCAAAGGACAGAGTTGCTTGGAGGCTGTTGGTGCAGGAGGTCAAGGCCTACAAAGGGCTGTAGAGCCAGCTGGTCATTTTGCAAGCCTTCTTCGTGCGCATGTTGGGCTAATTTTGATTTTTCGAACAGACCTTGGGTCAGGTTATAATTGTGCTCCTTATTGCATAACTGAAGGTCTGTTTGTTTCGCCGGTGTAACATGAGCCACGATCAGGTTGATTGCGATTGTGGCAGATGTTTTTTGATTAAAATTCGTTTTAGTGCGCTTTCGTTTCGTTCGTTTCTTAGTTCATTATCAGCAACACAACCTAGAATGATTATCGCGGTCGAGTGAGAAGCAAACCTGATTCTCATTCAAAAGGTCCTAGGTTCAAATCTTGGCCTGCAGACCGGCTATCCGGACAGGTTTTCAGTATATATTCTTCAGTCCCTCCAAGCAAATTCCAGAATATCACTTCAAATTAGGCTACGACCCATTTCTTCCATATTTCTTTCCAATTCATCATTCACTAATCATCCAATCATTCGACCCTACATAACAAATTTAGCATCGTTAAAAAATGAATAAATAGGTCTAAATATTAGAAAGCACACATATTAATTAATATTAGAGCTGTCTAATTACGACAAAAAACAAAGAAAACAAACAAACTCCGTGGCCTGTAGCCCGCAAGAGAACTATACCGATCGAGCGACCGCCGCTTGTAGGCGAAATTAGTGCCAACTTTTGCGGACAGAGGGTGTCACGTGGTCAGCGCAACGGATCCCCACGGCCGTTAATTTCGGTTTTCTAGTTTGGAGCCGCTATTTCCTCGAAATAGCTCCTCAATTATCCTCACGAGGCTGAGTGGAACCCTTTGCAGACTCACTACTTCTCAGAAAATCGGATAGAGCCGGGAATCGAACCCGGACCTTTGGATCTGTAGCCGGGAACTCTGACCACTAGACCACAGATGCGGTCTCTTAGAACGACAGTGCCGTTAAAATCTGTAGGTCTGTTCAGAGTTCTTCCTTCAATCGTTACGTACACCGGCAAACTTATAGGTCGTTGATAGGTTAAATTGCTGCTGGTCCTCGCCAGCAGAGTACTTCTCGGTCATGGCCATTCTTTTTAAGATGTTTACATGTTTTGAGATGGGGCCTCCTCTTCAACGAGAGGAGGGTTCTGATTACTGGTCACTTCGCTTTTGCTGGTGGTGACTCGAGCGATCTGTCCCTCATTAACATGCCCTCTCCTGCACACACACACGAGCGCGCGCGAGCAAGCACGTACACACACCGGCAAACTTATCAAAGGCCAAAAGTCGTATATGTGCTCTTGTTTTGCATGTTTCGACCTTGAAGCTAAGAGTTAATACGACTATACCGGCAAACATGTTTTTTGAGAGAAGAGAACCACTGGATATTTCAGTGTTAATAAAACCAATTAGGACTATATATATATCCTTCTGTATGAGCGTGCTTGTTTGCGTGTCTGCGCAAGCATCCCTCTGAGAACGTCGGATTTAGCATTAGTAACGGAAGGAGAATCTTGGATGACGCAGGGAAAACTGTTCTGACGTAATTCGGCCAGACTACAAGTATTTGAGAACTCGAGTTTACGACTTTGAAACATAGCTTATTTTCATTGATTTGTATATTTCCAGCTAAAATAAACCCTACATTGTACACCGTGCCGGACTGATCGTTACCAAACCCTACTCAGCGTGACCCAAATTCGACTTCGTGTTGGTTTATTTTCCCTTCCAGCGTTGTGTATTCTGTTCCTTTTCTTCACGTCGCTTCCTGATTAAATATACATTATTTAGAATCACTCTGCATTTAAACTAGATAATTATATTAAACGCGCCAGTTTCAGCTGATATTCAAGCAGCCTTTCAAGTGACTGTGTTCGCACCTCCAGATATTTTTTGGATTACCCTCGTAACGTTTCTGTTGGATAAGTTACAGATCTTAACGGAAATTAAAGTCATAATATCGTAAGCTGATGCAAAGGAGGAACATACGAATAGACAGAATGCTTCAGAAAAGCAAAAAGATGTTCAAGAATTAATGGACTGGTTCTTAGATTATTTTAAGACTCCTTATCAACTGTAGAGATTGATCGCCGAGACGGTACACGCTCAATAGGTGGCAGCCTGGCGAGACATATAATATAATCAACGTTTTGTTATTTGTGTTAAATGAAAATTAATTTCTGATATTTTATTCACATCGTGATTATTAACAAGTCTTAATTTAAATACTTTATGCAACCATAAAAATAATACTGTTAAAAGAGGAACGACACGAACCACAACCCTTGCTGCGGAGTATGAGGACATTGCGTTATTGTGTCGAAATTTTGGGAAAATCTAACTGGTTAACCGAGATTGTGA